GTCAATCGTCAACGGATTTACGTTCATACAGTGTGCGTGCGAACTCATTTGCAGCAACGTGCGCCTCGCAGCACAACTTAGGTGTCCGTCCACAGTCTTTTTCATCAAATGAAGACGATATTGGTAAGCTTTTGAGTATACAGTAACACAAATTAACTCCTGAAATTTCACTTTTTGTTTTTTTTTCAAAAAGATTAATGACCAAGGGCATCATGGATAAAGCTTCGTTCTCTGTAAGCTACGATGAACCAAGAGGGAATCGAATTACTCGTCTTCACATCCGGAAGCGACGTGCTCGACCAACCACTGCACCATCGGGATCCTGTGTTTCAGGATCAACCTGGGAGCACTTTTACTTTAAAGCAGCAGCAAATATCATTGTTTAAAGCAGCATATATCATTGTTTTTCTTTTCTGCTTCGGCTAAGCAGCACATACTTCACTGTGACCGCTTCATCTTTTGCTGATTTTCCATGGATTTCTCCCAACATTTAAAATAAATTTTACCGCATTTTGACCAAGATCACACGCATCATTGCCCTCTATTTATTTAAAAATGTCGGTTTGTTGGTGTTATCAAATCCAAATTTTCGTTTTTTGGGCATAATCCAGAATTTTTCCATTGACTTAAACTTGCAGTTGTCGAATTTTTACTTTTCGCGACTACAAAAATCCCTCAAAGTACAAAAGCCTGTGCGTCTCTATTCTTTCAACCTGATTTTTTTGGTTGAGACTAGGAATGCCCTCCACCCTTCTTGAATCGCTAAAAATTGTACTGTTATTCTCGAATATCCACGATATAAATTGTTTCCCATGATAAAACTCTGGAGAATTACGCTTCTCCGCTTTCCTACCCAATTCATTTCAAAATAACTGACATGAATTATTTATCGGATTTCTAATTTTATGCTCTTATTTCATTTCAAATATGATTTTAAGTCGAAGACGTTTTTTATTTGGGGTCGACTTGAGTCCTTCTTGAAAACTAACTTTCTTAATAAAATCATACTGAATTTGACTAATTATTACTGATCGTAGAAATTTTCAAGATGAAAACTTCAAGGATCAATAATAATTAGTCACATTCATTATGAATTTATTAAATCCTATTACTCTATCGAGATTCCGAGATCAGAATTTTCCTCAAAATCAATAATTTTCTGAAATCGGAGTGTTCTTCAAAATCCGATAATTTTTTGAACTTTAGTATTTTTCTTCTATCGAGTTCCATGAAATTGTTGCAGCGGTAGGACAGGATTCTGTATTTCCACGTCGAAAACGGTTCACACGTCGACAACGACGAAATTTAACGGGTAGAACTTTTGAACATACGTCGAGGTCAACTTCAGCCTTGAATAGAACATCAAGGTCTTCTTCATCAACGAGCAGCGAAGACGACAACGACCGCTTAAGTCGATCCGTAAGTGCTAAGGTTCCAGTAAGCTGTCCCAGTGAATGCTTGGTACTGTAACTTCCACCCGCGGGCAAAGTATCAAGTTCTGTAATTAATGTGGTGGTTATGTAACGGAATGGTACCCCAGCTGAAACGATACTTGAAAACCAAAATTATTACCACAGCTGCCCTGTGCATTGGTGCCCGGGCGTTGAGATCTTATTGGGATTAGCCGAAAGTAATTATGCCAAATTCCCCGATCCTTGTTGTGCATCTCTAGTTAGTATACACCGCCTATTCGATGTATGTACGACATCTTTTCGAGAGAAACGTTAGTGTTCATTTATTTCTTGTGGGTACCATCCACTAATGCACAAGGTCCATCGGTTGGTGGCAAGGCGAACTAATTACCAATTTTATAATGTTATTTTTGAAGTAATAAAGGAGTAGAAGTACAGAATGCAAAATCTGGAAAAGAATGTTTCGGTCCAATAAGTATGTCGAAGAATAATCTTTAGTCCACTGTAATTCGAACCAGGGGGCCACTGGAGGAAGCTTTTAGGATTTGTAAGAATTTTCAATTTACATTTCGCGAAAGGCAGCAGTCCTTTTCTGTTGAGAACAGTTGAACAAACAGTAAAGGCGTTCGGGAGCGAAACGGCAGCAGCTTTTTTTTTGCTTATTGAAAGTAAACATGAATTATTATAGTTTATAAATATTGCTAGGCATACACACCCACGCATTCACCGTCCTCACACATGTGCACGTATATACAAACATCACCTCCAATGGACCAAAGAAAGGGAGGAAAACGCTTTTTTCTAGTATTTCATTGCCAGGATCGAGCGAATTGTTTTCAATCGCCTTCGGATTTTTAGGTGCCAAGTACAGCTAGCCCAAATACTCTGTCCCTGCCCTGGATCGTTTTTTATAAATCAATGAAATTCTCTTTAGTACCATTCGCTTGCTAAAAAATCGTAGGTAATTTATGCTATTTACTTTTCTTAGCAATAAATACAAATAAATAATAGTGTAATACCGAAACTTAAAAATTGAATGATTGTAAATACTAGCAGTAAAAAAAGCTGACAAGGTTTTTCGAGAAGCAGGCTGATGATGATTTTAACTCCCTACCACGTTCTGGTACCACTTTACTATCGAAATCAAATATTAACGAATTTTAACTAGGGATGACAGACAGGGTAACCCCCAATGATGTAAAGTTCGGGTCATTCTTGGCAGTCGAAAGGAGCGATTTAATATTTCCGTACCTGGACATGACAGTAACATTTACTTTGGCGTTTACTGCGATAAAACATGTAAACTCGGAGATTTCGAGCAAAATCCTTATGGAGAGCGGGTCAAGGTGTTTACAACTTAATGGACCGAAACATCTTAGCTCCGCTTTTTCATTTTCTCTTCCCTGCCTCCTTTACCCTCTTCCTTTCCCCTCCATTTTCGTTTTTCTTCCCTTGGTCCTCTCATTAAGTTTGCATCCTGTAAGCAATTGCCACTGCGTTACATTCATTAACAATATTCTTGTTAATGGCTTTCAAATTTAAGCTTTGTTTTGATGGACATTGCTCGAAGTGTTTTTTTTTCCAGTACAGGGAATTGTTTTAAATTTGAAATGAATCGCCAAGGGACATTGTTCATTTAGTCGAGAGCTACCTCTGATTGCTTTGATGAACCTCTCTGGACAGCTTCTCTTGCAAGAGTGCTGTAAATTGGTTTTTCGAGTCTACTTTTCCTTCTTTTTTGCTCGTCCATTTCCACGGACATATGACTTTCGTCCAGAAAATCCGATTTTCTTGAATTTCATTCGTTAGGGGTTTGCTGGAAAATTCCAGTGTTCGCATCTAGCCCTGTGACATGCTGTTTGAGTTAAAATTTCACATCGATTCTAGTTTCTGGATAACCTGATAAGTGATAAAGTGCAATGATAAGGCAGAATTTTACAGGTACAACTAGTAACGACACGGAAGAGCGGCACTGAATCGACAAAATTCACGCGTACATTGTCTTTCTCAAAGGAAAATGGTCCTAGTTCTGTTCAGCTCACTCAATTAGCTACGGGAATTAGCCGAAATTCAGTGGCATCGCAAAATTCCACACAACCTGATGCATCTGTCAGCTACCAGAAATTCAAAGGTTTGTTCATTCAGAAAAAACACTCGTGAATAGAAAGTAGATTTGGTAAACTTAAAGTTTGAGGGGAATTTCGATTTAAAAAAAACACAAGTTTTTTAGCCTTTAAAAAAACACAATTTCCAAATCTCTCTATCTTTGAGAAACGAAGGCATGAATAATTTTTCTTAGAGAAAGCCCTTGCAAGTAGGAATCACCAGATAATAGGGTCATCGATAGTACTTTGTTGGAGCAAGTGTTTTGAAAAAAAAGTAACTGTTTTAGAAAAAAGCAAGAGGATTCTTTTTCTACTTGGCATTTGCGAAGTACCAATTTTTTCCATCGTTTTCGTATTACATGAGCCTCTTCTTTTGTACATCTTCATCGACCCATCGCTCCAATCCTTACTTTGGAGATTTTACTGGGAAGAATAGCCCTGTGGTTTGTTGGTTTATTTTGATGGTAAACTGACACTGGTATGCAAGGCATGCTGGCATTGCTAGCTATCCAACTTGTTCCTCAAGCACACGTTGCGAGAGGAAATTGTGGTAACCTCGCCTGCGCTCAGCTGTTGTTTTCGACGATATTTCTTACTTAGTCTGCGAACATTTCCTTTTCAATTGAAAAGAGAAGCCGTGTAGTGGTTTTGAGTTTTTCGAATATCTCTGGACCATCCCCAGCCGGTGAAACTTACTTGAAAGAAAGCGTCCAGTGGGATTACGCAAGAATGCAAAATCCGAGGGGGTTACCTGGCAATCTGTGGGCTTATGCACTAGTCTGTGGTACCTGCGAAGAAGTAAGCGACCACTCGGACGGCCTCCGACTAATTGACGCATATAAACCGGACAGGCGATGAATATTAGCTGGAGTTGTGTAGCACAGGAAGGAAGGACCTGGCGTGACTGCATCCGGTTTGTAGGAGCATCCAGTAATATCTCTAGCATGGAATACCTGAACGGATCATCTAGGCAGTTTCGGTAAAAAGTCTAGTCGTGTAGAATTTAATACGTACATTATATATTGGGGCGAGTGCCACTAAAATTTTTGGCAGAACAGCTTTAAGCAGCGCGTTACGTGTATTTTAACTTCAACTTTAAATAACAACGAAAGAGTTTCTTAGTCGTGGTAAATTCAGAATCATGATGTGACGAGAAAATAATTTCGGATGTAACGATCTGCTACAGACAAAATGGAGTGCATCCACGATTCGAAATTTGACGTTGATGGCGAGGGGATGAGGGCTGGGAGTGGGAAACCAGTTTTTTTCACGATTCATTAATTCGTTTCGATGACAAATTGATACTGGCATTGCTAGCATGCTAGAAACTCCAGAAGCATGCTTTTTCCAAGCAATTCATGGAAAGGACAAGCATCGAGAGCTTGCATCAACATAAGTGGTTGATGTATTGAAAAAAGTGTTTTCACTCAAGCAGGGCAGGATTTTTGGAAATTGTGTTTTATTTATTAGCTGGAACCTTGTAATGGTCTTGGTGCAATGGTAGGTAATGTCATTCTTGTGCGTTGAACCCACCACCAGTGAGACAACTAATTCTTATATATGCAAACTCAAGTCAATAGTT